ATAAAAAATTTAAAAAATTTTTAAAAAAGAAAAACTTATCAATAAAATAAAAAAATTTTAATCCACTAACAGAATATATCTTAACTACTATTTACTAAGTTCAAACTATTAAATAAAAAATGTTACCAAATATCTAATTTCTAATAATTTTAAAATAAATAAATTTATTAAATACGTATATTTTTAATTATTTAGATAAAACTAGTAATAGCTATTTTAATTCGTTATACCAAGCGGCACTTGAGCGGGTTCATTGTTGCACGCTATTTTCAAGCACCATCAAAAGAAAGAAATCTAAAGCCTTCAATTTATTTCCATGAGTGAACCTCTCCAAATGGAAATAGCATTGCGTGAACTGGCTACTCGCGTCCGCGTCTGGAGCTATAGATTGGTAATAATACATCTTTCTCCCTCCCCCAACAGGCAGGTGGACTTCAATTGCGTGGTGCAGGTATTATCGTTCCCGATTAACTGACTATTTTCAGGGACATCGAGCTCTCGACAATTTCAGCTTCTTCTTTTTTTCATCAGTGCAATGGAGACAGAGATTAACAAAGCACCATTATATTTCGATCTCAACACTGGAGCTAAGATCCCATCTGTTGGTCTGGGGACATGGAAGGCTTCTCCTGGTGTTGTCGGCCAAGCTATCATTGCCGCTGTCAAGGTTCTTTTATTTCATTCTCTTGTTAAAACCCAAATGTAATCTTATCGTATTTCAATTGATGGTGAATTTTCTAACCAAATCTAATGCAATGGGTGGGATCTTGAAATGTTTGTATTGGAAATGTTTCTGCTTAATTTTCTTATGCTATTTCTCATATAAGGATCTGAAATTGCATTCAAGGAAATAGCATAAGGTAGAAGGAAGTCAGCCACATTGTCCATGAATAGTTTAGATGCATTGTCAATTATCATCTTAGGAAAACAAATGGGCAATTTTTAATGGGGGTTTCTTGCCCTTGGTACTGTACTTTTGCAGGCTGGTTACAGGCACATTGATTGTGCCCGTGTCTATGATAACGAGAAAGAGGTAACATCAGACGTTTCCCAATCTTTTACTAATATCACAGTCTGCAAATGTATAAGTTTGTGTGAGTGTGATTGTTGTGGATTTGATGAGTATATCATAGTGTAGGTCGGGGATGCATTGAAGGAACTGTTTTCATCGGGGGTGGTGAAGCGCAGTGAATTGTTCATTACATCTAAGCTATGGTTGTTCAATACTCCTCTTTTTTTATTGGAACTATGAGTCTTGATGCATTCGTTGATCTACTTGGGAATTCTACAAATACGAGAAAATTTTGGCTTTGAAACCCAGATTTTATCTGTATGATGTTACAGGTGCAGTGACCACGCACCTGAAGATGTCTCAAAGTCTTTGAGCAAAACTTTACAAGACCTTCAACTCGACTATATTGATCTGTATCTGGTACGTCTGTTCTTGGCTTCTTGCCTCCAAAGATATTAGCTTACAACTGTTTGTCAAGAGGATTTTCTTTCCCTTTTTTATTAATGACAGCAGCGGGGATAAGATTTGTGAGGTGAGGGTTTCTCTCATGGTTATGAAGTTTTCCCAATACAGAGGCTAGCCATGCAAGTAGGAAGTTGTAATTTATCCAGAAATGTGGTAGGGATCACTTAGTTTCAGACAATAATAATCAATGGATCGTAGTTCATAGAAAATTCAGTTTATCCATAAATTTATTAGGGATCAGCCTCAACTCAAGCTTCCAGGACTTGGTTTGGCAATAAAATGATCATGTATCATAGTTTATAGAAATTCAGCTTTGAAATTTAGCCTTTCATTACAGATTCACTGGCCATTTCGCACAAAGCCTGGTAGCCGAGGCTGGGATCCAGAAGTCATGGCTCCCCTGTGCCTTCCAGAAACATGGGCGGCAATGGAGGGCTTATATGCATCTGGTCAGGCACGTGCCATTGGGGTTAGCAACTTCTCAACCAAGAAGCTGGAGGACCTGCTCAAGTTTGCAAAAGTACCACCTGCTGTCAATCAGGTAGAATGCCACCCTGTCTGGCAGCAACCTGCCCTCCACAACCTCTGCAAGTCTACTGGAGTTCATCTCACGGTAATTATCCAAAGGTTTCTCAGTTGACTTTAATCCTGTTACCATATATGTGCTTAGTCTTGGTTGCTTGAAAATTGGAAGATTTGAATGTTGTTATTTATGTTGCAGGCATATTCCCCTTTAGGATCTCCTGGCTCTTGGGTTAAAGGAGAAATTTTGAAGGAACCCATTTTGATAGAAGTTGCTGAAAAACTTAACAAGTCACCAGCACAAGTGGCTCTGTGTTGGGGCATTCAAAGTGGTCACAGTGTTCTTCCCAAAAGCGTGAATGAATCTAGGATCAAGGAAAATTTAAGCTTGTTTGATTGGTGCATACCTCCTGAGCTCTTCTCGAAATTATCAGGCATCCACCAGGTAAACCTGCCTTTCAATGCATATGTATATAACAGATACAGAAATCCAGATTATGAGGATGACTAACTAAATCTTGTGAACCATGCAGCAAAGGCTACTCCGAGGGGATTTTGCAATCCACGAAACTTGTAGTCCTTACAAGAGCCTTGAAGAACTGTGGGATGGTGAAATATGAGACAACACGTTACTCTTTGATATTAGTCTAAACGGATATCATTTTTGAGGACATTGATTCATCAGCACAGGTGAGCAGCTAAATCAGATACAGGGGAATCCTGGTAATCTGGCAATAGATAGTACCATGAAATAATGGTGGAAAAAACAAATGAGTTCTTTTCTATATTCTGTTAGTTTTGTCAATGCATTTGTTAATTCTTTCAGGATACTGTTATCTTCATCCCTCTGTGTTCTCTTTTTCTAAAATCATAATGAATGAATCATTTGATCTAAAATAAACTTATGTTTGAACTCTACAACAAAATTTAGTTCTTTTTTTTTTCTACTTTTTTGTTTATTAAACTTTATTTACCTGTTTTAAAGTTTGAATTTATGATTATTGAATATCGAGATGCAAGATATTAACTATTGGAATGTTCGAGGGACAAAAGACTAATGATTGATAAGAAAACCCAAGTTTGAAATGAATTTGACATGGTTGAAACCTGCAAGAAATGGCAACCATCTTGATGTATAAAAAAGAAATGAAATCTGCTCCAACATTTTATTTTGGTATTGATTGATTTTACAAGTAACTTGAAGATGGCCCTTTCCAGCCGATGGTGTAAATTCTGAAGCCCATAGCAAATCCAAATGAGCCCATCCTGCCCACTTTTAGTCTTACCATATGGACCCGGATGAAACATAGAGAAGGGAATTTAAAATAAGCAGAACAAATAAAAAAAATCAGAAGAATGATGCTAAGAGTGGAATATGTTGGAATGATTCCTGTTAATCACAATAATGTCAAGTCAAACAAGGAGAAAGATCCAAACAGAAAGTAGTTTTTTCTTTTCTTTTTTTTTTTGAAGAAAATCTATACATAATGTAATCAGCTGAGAACATATGATATATACACAGAACATCAAAGTTTTTGAAAGGGAATATTGTTCCCTATTGTATCGTCCACTATCAAATGCACCAAAATATTGTCAAGGTCGCATCTTCAAGAATTTAAAGCGGATGCATTGGTTTCTGGACTGCCAGCAAGCGGATTGGGAACAAGAAGCTTACGATGGTGATGTGGGTGAAGTACAAGAGCTTGGCGAGACCAGTGGTACCCTGCTTTTGGAATTGGAGAGGTAAATCTCATCCAATAGCACAAGTACTTGATCCCGGGTAACTCTATGAATTGGATCTACCAATAAGTAAGTTTTATAGATCATATTTAGAATGCACATTATAATATGAGATGTATTTTTAAGATAATTTATTGATTTTTTTTATATTAACATTTCGTTATTCGATAATTATATTGAATCCAATTAATTTAAAATCGAATTTGTTGGATGAGAAATTTTTTCAATACCTGTTTCTCGATTCATCAAACTCAAACCAAAACAGGGTTGTTAATTCATTGATTGTTTGAAATCAAACACAAGTATTGGGCCGGAGAAATTTGGGAATGTATCAATATCCCTAATCAAAGGGGGAGGGAAAAATGCGAGGGAGGGAAAACTGCACAAGGAAGCCCATGGGCCAAAGGTATGATTCCAACAGAATCTTTATCCTTGAAATCCAATCTATCTCAAACTCAATCTCTAAAATAAAACACGTTATTATTATTATTCATTACCATTCAGTGGGACTCTTCTTGAGCTGGAATTTCATCGGATTCGGTCGGATGAATGGCGTCCCGCGTTAATTTTACTCTCCGGTGCTCCACCGCAACGCCGCGTTTCGGTCCCCCATGTCACCTCCAAAGCCCTAACCTTGCTTCCGCTCCACCTACCTTTATTCGGTCCTCCTGTAAATTCCTTCCTCACAAGGTAATTGGATTGCGTTTCGCTTTTGCTTGTTTGCTTTGCATCTGATGCTCTCACCTATTATATAGCTTTGACCGTCGATTCTCATTTCTCTGACCCTCTAGCTTTCCTGTTCGGGTGCTCGTCGGCGGCGTGTATTGGTGCCGGTGAGGGCACACATGGCCGCCACCGAGGAGAAATCGATTTCGGAGGATAGAATGCTTGTCAGTTCACTATTGCGTATTGCCCTCTTTTTCTTTTTTTCCTAGCTATTTGACTTTGAAAACGACACAGTTTTTTTTTTGTATTGACTTGATTGCGTCTATTTTTAGGTATTTGTGCCTCCGCACCCGTTGATCAAGCATTGGGTCTCGGTTCTGAGGAATGAACAGACTCCATGCCCCATCTTCAGTGAGTAAATTCTTTTGCATTTAACTGGGAATTGGAATTTTGGGTTCTAGTTGGTGGGGGATGGTTTTTCATTCTTTGTAAAAATATACTTGTTGGGTTTTTATTTTTGGCATGTATTTGAGACAATTTCGAGTTGTCATTGTTGAATTGGTGAAAAGAGGAAAAGTATTCTGTTTTTATGATTAATTTATTTATAAATTTGGCATAAAGCTACCAATTTTGAGTAAGATGTGTTTTTATGGTCTCCTGTTGTCAGAAAATGCAATGGCTGAGTTGGGCAGGCTACTAATGTATGAAGCTTCAAGGGATTGGTTGGTAAGTTTTTTCTTTCAATTAGTTTTCATTTTCATCAAATGTTGGGATAAACATGGATGGAGGGTGTAGGAACCTGGGGTTGTATGCAGGGTGTGTGGCACATCACTTGCCCCAAGCATGGGTGTACCGTCTGCTTTAATTTACCTTGTGTTCCTACATTGTACCTTATAAATCATGGGAAGGGTTTTTCTGTACTCTTGATGGTATCCTAGATGTTAATGCATCTAAGCTTACATTTTATTATTTTACTATCTCCAGCCCACCGTCACTGGTGAGATCCAGACACCAATGGCCATTGCCACAGTTGAGTTTATTGATCCAAGAGAACCTGTAGCGGTAAGTTCATGGTCTCCAACTTTTACTTCTTTGTTCCTTGTTTTTATTGTGCTTCTAAGTCTAAATGCCTCTGCAAAGTATAATGCTACATCTGGAGGTCTTAAGACTGGTTAAACTGATACTTATACACTTTTAGTTTCTCAGGTTGTTCCTATTTTGAGAGCTGGACTAGCTCTTGCAGAACATGCATCATCAATCTTGCCAGCTACTAAAACATACCATCTGGGTATGACTCATAATTCATTCATGAAAGTACAAGATTACAGTGCCTTCATTTGTTTCCTGGAGAACTTAAAATTTTGATTTAGAAGTAGTTTCCTTTGTATTTAAACATGAATTGTCTGTACAAACGTTTTAATAGATACATGGATAGTTTCTGCCTGAAAGAATGCGGTTTTTTTAGGATGATTATACAATCTACCTCCAAATAGCCCCTTTTGTCTTTGAGTTTTGACTTCTGATTCCAATGTATTTTGTGGATTGCAGTTGATATATCCTCTCATATTCTTTAATGTGATTGACTTGATTAGTTGTTTATAATTGTGGTTGTTATTTTGTGAATGAAGGTATAAGCAGAGATGAGGAGACACTTTTGCCCACAGTGTATTTGAATAAGTAAGAATTTACTTATCACCTTTTCATGTTTAATATTCTTCACCATGTACTGTTTTCAAATTCTTATCAATTGGACCTTGTTCCCATCATTTCATGCTACTGTTTTTTTTCTCTTTGAACTTGATTTATTGATTTATTGTTTTGGACTTTTTGACCTTCAAAGCTAGGATTTTGGGACTTATCTTGCACATTTCTAATGTCTTCTATAGGTTGCCTGAGAAATTTCTTGAAGGATCTCGAGTTTTTGTGGTGGATCCTATGTTGGCAACAGGTGCTGATTTTCTAGGTTTCAGGCTATCTTTCCCCCTTGCAAATATCATTCTTGTAGCCTTCTCAAAATGTTATATATACTCTAGTTCTGCTATTGTGTTAGGCTGAAGTATCAACTTCAGCATGATAGCTTTGGTCATCATTCATGAAAAAAAAAAAATAATAATAATAATAATAAATCATGAGTCAATCACTGGAAGTTCCTTAACATTGAATATTGCATGCTGAATAAAATAAATGACAGTTCTTCACTACTGATTTAAAATGCTGTAAGGCTTTCTTTATTCAAGTACAAGCACGAGAAGTTAAACTTTACATGCATCTATTTTTATACCCATCCCTCATAACCCCACCCCCCTTCCTTTCTTTCCATGGGTGGTGCTAATTTTCTTGATAACAACTTTCAGGTGGCACAATACTGGCAGCACTCAACCTGTTAAAGGAACGTGGAATTCAAAACAAGCAAATGAAAGTGGTGAGTAAGCCAGCATCTTCCAATTATTTCTTTTCCTTTTTTTTTATAAGGTTCATACACAAAGTTGTCAAATAGATGGCATTTTGTATGCATAGTTGCTGGATATTAGTTTGTAACAGTGTTATTAATGCAAGCATTTTCGTTATTAAACTCATGAAACAATCTGTTGTTGAATTGCCTTTATCTAGTTTTCCTGTTGTGTACATGTTCTTGTGTCAATGTAACTAGAAACAGTTTCTGGTCGGTGCATTAATGGATTAGAATGCTCATTGCAGATATCTGCTGTGGCTGCTCCTCCAGCCCTTCAAAAGCTTAGTGAGAATTTCCCAGGGTAATTAAAATTTATGTTTAAATTTCACATATCAAATTCTCGATCAGTCCCATATTTTTTGAACTTTTTAACTGGTTTGTCAATACAGACTTCACGTGTACACTGGAACAATTGACCCTGATGTCAATGACAAAGGGTAAATCTTCAATCTTTTTCCTGGACTTAAAAGTGTGGACATTGCTTGAGCTATACATGTTTGTCTCAAACTTTGCCTGTTTTCAGGTTTATTATTCCCGGACTTGGAGATGCTGGAGACCGTAGCTTTGGCACATAATTCTGAAACAAGATGAGAAACTTCATTTTACATTTGCAGTTTTGATTCATTAAAGCTCATTGTCAAGTTCAGAGGAATTGCTGTGTTTTATACATATATATTGGATTGTGTTCTTATTTTCGGAATTTGTGTTGTTGTCTTTATATAAGAAATTTCAAACAGTCGTTTTAGGTTAAAAATTTCTTCCGATGGAATTGAAGTGGAGTACACGATTTGGTATCAAATTAGTTTTGTTTATTTCTTTCATCCAACCCAAATTTCTATCCTCCCCTCATCGTGCTGTTCTTTAGCTTTTCCCATCTTTATGGAAGCTAAAGTATCTCGTACGGCAGCTACGCACCAATTCCAGTTTCATTTATCTCAAAGTAAATTTCCCTTTCCCTTAGATACAAAGAACGGTAAATTGAGTCATTTTTCAACTTTAATTATGATAGTCAATTCTTTTGTGAATGAGAGAAAACGAAGATGCTACGAGATTAGAGAAAAATAAAAGTTAAGATATTTTGATATATTAAATATTAATTTTACTTTATTTTTTATTTTAATTTTTTTACTTATTCATATGTGGAGAGGGAGTGAGGATCTCGTGTCATTCCATTTCCCTCTCTAACCTTTTATTTTTTTTTAATTAAATATATTATTAAAAGTTATCCTTTGCATGTTAATTTATTAAAGTTATTTAAGTCTTTTTTATTATTTTTAACATTTTAATTGTTAAAACGTTTAATTTTATTCTAATCTTGCACATCTAATTAACAGAATTAACACAGTATAACACACTATATACAATTGCAGGCAATTTTTTGTATTAACAAAAAAAAAAAAAAAAGGTACCAAAGGTCCAAAGCCCAACTTTCCCTCCGTACAGAACACCCCCAAAATCAAAGATACATGGAGGGGAGAAACTCAGAAAAGGAAGAGAATAGCAGAAAAAGTGAAATTTTTAGTTGTATCATATACACAAAATGAAGGATGCTGTATCAAACGCCGGCATAACCGCCACCGTCGCAAGAGCAACTACCGGTACCGTTTCTGCTAATGTCGCCAGGTTGGCTTGGCTGGGTGCTGAGGCAGCAACACATAAGACCCAGTAGTAGCATGAAACCCCA